GCTACGCCGGGATTCGTTTCAGCAAGTAGATATCCATATATTTAAATGGACCTTGTTGGAGCATACGTAATCCTAAAATGTAGCATCGTACTACAGATGGCGTTTACCGCGCCATTTGTGGTATTTTCTCAATCAGTTATGATGGTTGAATTGCAGAACATACGTACATACAAATTTTTAAAATATTTAGATTAGATTACTGTTCAGAAATAATTAAGGATGTGGGATGTTCTAGATTTAGGGAAATGCTCAAGCTCAAGATAGGAAAAAGTGGAGACGCGTGTCCAACCGGTCTTAGGACTGACGACCTTATGATGATGACGAAGTTAACAGTAATATTTCGAAAATTTAAATATTTCGTAAAAATTACAATTCATTAAGAATAAGAGCATGTGTTTGTAGTTATTTTTAGAAAACTAAATGAGAAAATTCATAGAATTATTCTTTTAAATTAACTGGAAGGGTGTAATGGAAAAGTTCATCACCACACGTAAAATCTTTGACCTAAGTTAGAGCTACTTTTACCAGTTCAAATAAAATGTGTTAAATATCGTGCATCCTTGTAAATATCTACAAGCATCACCTAAACAGAAGTGATAATTAATCTAATAAGTCTATAAATACGCTGCGTAAAAAGTTCAATTATAATTCAAAAGTAAAGTAAATACAAATACATATTATATGGTACTTATTAGCCTACTTCTTGAGAAGAAATCCAATAATAGCAGTTTTACTTGAAAATGAACTACAATTAAACAATCATTTAATCTAATATGCCTACACCAAACGCAAGATTCCACCCTGCAAATTGGAAAACGTTCATCAACCTTCTAAGATAGAAGAAATGTAAGAAAAATTTAAAACAACAAACAATACATCCTAAATAAGTGTCAAACATCACCGACGATCACATACAACTAATGTTTCTATCCCTCGGGAACAGTATTTGATGATGTATGTCTAAATTTCGTGATGATTGATTGAGTAACAGATAAGGTGTGAAATGATACCAAAGAAACAAAACCCATGTTTGCATTAATAATATTCGTTAGGTTTGTATTTTAAGGATATCCATTAGTATAAATTTTGGTAATTTTTTACATTAGTTGACATTGGAATTGAGACATGAAGTTTAGTCAGGTAGGTAGTACTGACCAAGTAGAATCGTGTGGTAGCATTAATTCCGTGCGGAAACCAATGTAGCTCGAGATACAGGCTTCTAAAGTTATGTAATCGGAGGAAATTTCGATTGGTACGGCCCTGGCTGCAGCCCTTCGTCAGCTGTTCTCGCCAAATATGCATTGATGACGTCATTGTTTAGTTAGGTAGATGTATGACAGACTCGAGTTTGTTTAATGCCCCTGCCCGCCGAAGGCGGGCTGATACATTAGAATAATGTTAGGAAGATATGTTTTAGGACAAACGATGTTTGGCGGGAACAGCTGACGGAAGGCTGAAGCCAGGGCCGTACCTACCGGTATTTCCTCCGATTAAGAAAACTTTAAGGGCCTGTATCTCACTCACATTCATTTTTAAACAAATAATAAACAAAATTCTAGTAAATACTACTACACTACTTTACTTGGTGAGTACT